AATAATTATAGATAGAAAATAGAAAAACCTTAAGCAATAATTAGATACATAATTTACACAAATAACTTAATTTTGCAAGTTTCTAAAGAGAATTTAATTTTTAAAAAATGATGAAAATATCTTACTCGTATCAAATGATAGTATTTTCTAAGAAGAATCCTTTTAGCCTTACTATTATTTAAATATTGTAAAATCGAAAAATAGATACAAAGATAACAATGATCCATCAGATACAAAGATAACAATGATCCATTATAAATATAAAGAAATCCGCCTAAGTAGCTCTAATAACAAAAAATTGAAAATTATTGAATAGAAGAAGTTTTACCTTCCAAAAATTGAATAAATGGAGAAAAATTGCCTAAAAATCAAGTTGAATGGCGAGAGGCGACTGAGAGGCCAAGAGCTTCGGTTGGAGGAGAAAGCTCGATTCAAAATAGAGCCCTTTCTGACAGAATTTTCAATGGATTTCGCAGTAAAAAATTAAGTAAAAATTCCATCAAACCGTCAAATAATCACCGTCAGAAATTTCAATGGATTTTTCAACAAAAAATTTTCGTCAAAAATTACCAACGAAATTTCTGAAAAAAAAAACTTGCCAGCAATTTCCAATGGAATTTCTAGCGGCAAAATTCCGTTGCAAATTCCAACGGATTTTTTGGAGGAAAATTTGGCCGATAATTTTCAGCAAAAATTTCATCAAAATTTACAGTGGAATTTTGCTGCCAGAAATTCCATCAACATTCTGTGAATTTCCTAGTGTTAAAAACTTAAAAAAACTTATAAATCAATAAATTTTAAATAATACTAATTTAATAATCTAAATAATAAGCCTAACTTATATAACCTTAATATAAATTTCTAAAAATTAACTTTTAATTTTCTAAAATAACATTAAATAACTGACCTTATCCCAATCTTTTAAATAGCTTCCCCCCAACCCCCACCTTCATCCACTATAAAAAGCACGAAAGTACTCTCGATCACTAAAGCCGATGTCACTCAAGCCCTTCCTCGCCTCTAACCTCGCACAAAATTTCACCCTCACACACGGTTGTTCTCCCACGCCCAATCACCTCGCCTAGATCATTGTCTTCGTTGTTTGTTGATTTATAGGGATGAAACACTTTTGACTCCTTACGCACCAAGCAACGCACCTTCGTCTTCCTCATGTGAGAATGAACCAACACAGTCATCCATTCAAATCGATTGTAGTTTGTTTAATTTATCTCATATTACATAGATCATGGTGGAAGTATAAGGCATATCCCTTCAAGTGAAAGCTAAAGTTCATTTTGGATAAAAAAGGATGAAGGGATCAATAAGGTTGATTGGGATTTTGAGGCTCAAGGATGTGACCATTAAACAGCAACGCATCAGGCCCAACAAATTCATACTAAAGTTGGCTAATAGGCAAAACATGTGGTTCAGTACAATTATAGTTGTCAACAGGACTGCCTCTCGCTTAAAGGAAATAACATATCCAATTCAATTGTTTGATATGAGGTTAGGCTGATTGGAATGAACCCTAAAGCACATTGAGTAAGGGTTATATGCTACTGGGAGCCTTTGTAAAACGGATCAACCCTTCAGGGTCTATATATCTCTTAGCTACAAAAGTTAACATCCACATGATAGAGGGCTAATTATAGTGAACAACAACAATAACATCAAGCCTTTATCCCACTACGTTTGATTGGCTACATGAATCCTTTTTCTCTAGTGTGTAAGGGTTAAATTCTCATTTAAATCTAATAAAGATAGATTATTTCTACTATTTTCTAACCAAGTCTTTTTAGGTCTACATCTACTTTTTTAACATAAGTCAAATCTAATACATCTACTCTCCTAACCGGGTCATCAAAAGGCCTCCGTTTTATGTGGCCAAACCATCTAAGTCGACTCTCTCTAAAGTTATCTTCCAGTATAGCTACTCCAACCTTTTCACGTATATGCTAGTTTCGTATGATGTCTCTAAAAGTAAAGTCACTCATCCACCTTAGCATCCTCATCTTTGAAACACTTAACTTAATATTATGATTCTCTTTTAATGGCTAACATTCTGCACCATAAAAAATTGCAGGTCTCACCACCATTTTATAGAATTTTTCCTTAAGTTTGAGGGGGACTTTTCTATCACACAACAAGCTCAATGCATTCATCCACTTCAACCATCCAACTTGAATTCTACTCATAATATCTCCATTTATTTTACCATCACTCTGAACAATAGACCCAAGATATCTAAAATGTGTACTCTTATTAATGACTTGATCCCCCAAAGTCAAATACCCCCACTAGATCTATTACTACTAAAATTACACTCCATATATTCGATTTTAGATTTACGCAAACGAAAACCTTTAAACTTTAAGGTTGACCTCCATAATTCAAGTTTACCTTCAAGTTCCTCTCTATTCTTATCAACAAGAAGAATATCATCATCAAAAAAGCATACACCAGGGTACATCTTCTTGCAAATGTCTAGTGAGAACATCCATGACTAAAGCAAAAAAATATGGGCTCAAGGATGATCCTTGATCTAATCCAACTGAAATAGAAAAATACTTGGTCAAACCACCTTTTGTTTGAACACAACTAACAGCTGCTGCATACATATCCTTAATGACTTGAATATAAACATAATTAACTCCTTTCTTTTATAGAGCTCTTCACAGCACTTCTCTTGGAACTTTATCATATGCTTTCTCTAAATCAATAAATACATATGAAGATCCTCCATATTCTCTTTATACTTCTCCATCAAACCTCTCAATAAATGTATAGCTTCCATAGTAGACCTATCCGACAAGAATCTAAATTAATTTTGAGAAAAATTAGTATCACATTGCAACCTATGTCCATAATCTCTCCCATAGTTTTAAAGTATGACACATTAACTTAATTCCTCTATAATTTGCACAATCTTGTGCATCAACTTTAGTCTTAAAGGTAGCAATCAACATACTCATTCTCCACTCATTAGGCATCTTTTTAGTCTTCAAAATAATATTAAAAATTTTAGTAAGCCAAAAAATTCCTTCATCTCCTAAGCATTTGCACACCTCTATAGAAATATCATCAAGTCCAACAACTTTTCCACACTTCATTTTCTTTAAAGTCTCTCTAACTTTGATTTTACTAATACGTCGATAAAAAAAAAATCTTATTTACATTTAGGGTGCTAAGGTCACTAAAGTCTATTGTATTCTTACAATCTTCATTAAAAAAATAGCAAAATATCTCATCCACCTTTGTTGAATATCTTCTAATAAAAGCACTTTTTTATCTTCATCCTTAATGCACTTTACTTGAACTAAATCTTTACTGCTCCTATCTCGTTGTTTGGTTAATTTATTCATATATCTTTCATTCTCTTTTGTATATAATCTATTATATAAATAATTAGAAGTTAAAATATTTGCATCGCATATTGCTTTCATAGACTCCTTACGGGCCTCTTTATATCTTTCTCAATTATCAGAATTTTTAGATCAAACAAATTTTTATAACAAAACTCATTATTATATTTTTTTTTACATATTTTGATTCCACCACCAACTTTGTTTACTATTAAGAACTTTTTCTTTTGATATTCTAAGCACATCCTTTGCAATATTTTTAATATCACTAGCTAGCTTTTCCCACATAACATTAGCTTCCTCATCTATAAACAAAATCTTAGAATCTAGAATCTTACTCTCAAAAATATTGTTGTTAATATTTTTTAAATGCCCCCATCTAATCCTAAAACAATACTTTACTTTATTTTTTATATTTTGCACATTTATCTTAAAGTTCAAAGCTAATAAGCGATGTTGGGTACATAAAATTTCACTCGTGATAACTTTACAGTATTTGCAATCTAAACGATCTATTTTCTTATAAGAAAATAATCGATCTGATTTTTACTATATATATTATTATAAGTGATGAGAAAATCATAACTTATTAGGTATATAAGTGATGAGATTTAAATGGACATCTCCTTTTTTAAATAAGGTATTACCAATTAGAAAATAATAAGCTATAGCAAAATCTAATGTGGTATGTACATCTTCATTACTCGCACCAAACCCAAAGCTACAATTAATATTTTTAAAATCATTTATCACTCTACCAACATGTCCATTTAAATCTCCTACAATAAAAAATCTTTCTTTCAAAGATATTTTTTATATTAATTCTTCTAAGTCATTCCAAAATTTTAATTTTGAACATATATTCAAACCTACTTGAGAAGCACAAGCACTTATAATATTAATAATTTTAGCATCAACAATAATCTTTAAAGATATAATTCTATCTCAAATTCTATTAATTTTTACAACACTATCCTTCAAACTGTTATTTATAATCACGGCTACACCATTTCTAGTATGACTCCTATCAGAATACCATAGATTAAATCTTAAACTATCAATCACCTTGGCTTTCTCTCCAACTCATTTAATTTCCCGAATGCATGGAATATTTATCTTCCTATGCATCATAGTATCTATTAATTCCATTAATTTACTTGAAAGAGAACCAAATGCAACCCTCCACTTTTCTCGTCCATAACTTGGGACTTGACAACGACATTGAAGATGATATTGTAGTTACAATTATTGAAAATTTAGTAATTGAAAACATGCCTAGGTAATTTAGACGTTACAACAAAGGGTACAAAATATACCCATTTGATGTATTAGAAAAATTAGACTTGATTGATTAGGAAGAGAAGACAAGGACCTAACGTAACATGTATAAAAGTTTTTAAAAATAATTTGCAATTAGTAGTCTTAACACCTCAACTAACACTCAACATGAATGACTAAAATTTTCAAATTCACAAAATCAAACCAAAGAAATATTCTTTCAAAGGCAGAATATTGATAACAATGTTGATACACAATTAATAGAGTGACTAAATTAGTTCATGTCAAGTCATTGACATATGATGGTCAAGAAACAAACTAAATAAGTACTTCTCGAATGTTACAAAATATAAACATTACCGGAATTTTTCCTTGGGTCTTCAAGATCGAGAACACCAATGTTTTTAGATCAACTGACCAAACTGCAAATAATCAAGGTAATCAGCATAAGAGGAACAATATGGTGGCAATAATAGTTCAGGTACAGTGCAAAATTCAACTAGAAAATTGAGTGGTATAACCATACACTATTCAAAATTAACATATCTTCATATGAAACAAAGGTAGAAGGCAACGTTTGACCCAAAAGGAGATGCAAACCTGATAGGTGATGCAGGGCTTCAAGTTTGCTTGTCTAATGAAGATTGTCATCATCATTAATTTATTTTTGAGAGATGATTTAGTGGGGATTTCTTGTATTTGAATTTTAATGGGCTAAAATGTTTTAATGAGATGCAATGACACCTTGGAATGCATTTTTATACATTTTTTATTAATTCTGGCCTCACAAAGTACATCATGGTTGTATAGCATGGACCACCAACCATACTGTGGGATGCAATCACATGTTTGAGAACGACCATAGATTCAAGTCTGATATTATTTAGCTGTCACGCAATATTTGGGGTCATTTCACGTTCTATCATCAGCAATTATCCTAGAATAAATGGTCGTTGTCCCATTTCTCGATGTCCTGCTAGTCTGAAAACATGTCTTTTCATGAATTAAATTTTCATTCTTAGGATATAAGTTCTTAATTTCCCACCATGAAGCTTTAAGGAACCAATAAAATCATGTCCAACTAATTCTTATTCATTTTTCCTTCTGCTTAATCAATTATCCTTCCCATCCATCTACAATGTTTGTTCTTGATGTCAAGCAGGTGACGATGATTGTTATTGTTCCAACAACTAAGATCTAGATTTAGCATTGGCAACAAAGTCTCACAAGGATATAGAATAATCTCATCTCTAGTAACTCTTAAGGAGTATTAGTTAACGTATTAATATGCCTATCAAATATCAATGAAATCTTCATTACTTTTATTGTGTACCAAAAGAACAATACAAGTTGAAAATGCAAATTGTAGACCACGAATAATTTACATGAGTGTACTAATTTATGGCATGCATCATCAGAAAACCTACATAATATTATTCATACTTCATCCATGTTTTAGTTAATTGCTAGTGCAATTCTTTCCTAATCAACTTCTAAAATTTACTTTGTGCCTAGCATTAGAATCTATACCACCCTGTATCATCTTCTCTATTAGGACCTAGGTTGCATCAATGCTCACAACGTTAAAATCCTTAGGAGGTCATATGTTGGATCATGAATGTGATGAGATTTTTTCAAGCTTATGTGATCAATTGAACATGTTACAAGTCCAATACAATATCATAAATCATGAACTCACCCATGTCAAAAATCATGTAGAAATATGAAGAGTGGGGGCAACAAAGAGATTTGCAGACTCTAAATCTCGTAAAAACTTTTGTGCTTTGTCCATGTGAAGCAAGGAAACATGAAAATACAATTAAAACACAATTCCTGATGGGCAAGGTGTTCTAATGGATGCAATGGAGGAACCCTTTAGTGCTGAGGGGGGGATTGGCCCCTCTAAAACATATTAAAACTCTCTTTATAATAGGAATAATTTCATAATTTGCCCCCTCCTCTTCCTTTTTTTCCTCTACCCGACCATTTCTCACGCAAAAGGTAAGTCGCAAGCCGGTGCCTTCTTCGTGCATTTCGTTCGCTCCTCACAACCCTGCTATCTGAAGGTCGAAGCTTGAAGTAAAAAATGATGCGTGTGCAGGACTGCGGCCGCATAGCGTCTTCTTCAATTCTTCCCTCACCATCTTCCTTAAGTAAGCTACTAAGCTATGTTTTTTACTTTTCCCCCTTTGAAGGAAAAAAAAAAGTTTCCCTTACCATCTCCTTCCCTCGCCTTCTTAAGTAATAAGCTCTGTTGTTTTAGAAGTATAGTAGTTGTTGTTGTTCAATCAGGTAGTTCATCTAAAAATATATATCTGCATAACTTCTCGTGAGGTCCAATGGAGAGAAAACGGAGCCGTCATCGCTAGGCCTTGAAGAGGCAGTGGATGGGCTGCCTGGGAAGCGGGTGGATGAGCTATTGAAGAGGGAAGAAAAACAGCCGCTTCTCGAGAGGTTGGGAAAGGCCTCCTGCCGTGTAGATAGAGCTAGTGCTATGCTCGCCGAGATCGAGAAGCAGCAGGCTGAAGCCCTCCGCCAATCAGCTTTTTTTGCAGCTCCAAAACCGAGAACTGAGGTTTTGCTTCTTATTTCTCACCATTCTCTCTGTTGTTGATGTTTTACCTTGAATCAAAGCCAATGATGGGGATTAGTGGTTCCAAGGCTTCTATGTAGACTACGAATTTAAACATGTGCACTTCCTTTGAGAGTCAGTTGGCTTATGAAGAAGCTTTTACGTGTAATTAGATAAAAACCTAATTGGAAAGACCATAAAGGAAAACAGTAAACCAAGAAGATTTTACGTGTAATTAGAAAAAAAAAACCTAATTCGAAGCAATAGAATTATTTAATAATGAGAATTGGACTGCTGATAAGCTTCTCAGCTTGCTGCATGTTGAAATAGTTCAACATATTCTGAACATTTAACTTAATTTTCTTTAAAAAGAAAATTATATTAAAAGGTTCAAGTGATGGCAATTTTAAGCTCAAATACTTTGGATTCTACTAGAGATAAAAGAATATGTTGCATTTTTAACAAACTATCTCAGCTTTACATATATGAGGTTCTCAGGTTAACAATGTTGTTGAATTGTTCTACATATGAAAAAATTAAACTGATTTTTCTGCCCCTAGTCATATCTGACTCTTTATTGTTATCTATACTTCATGGTTTTTTGTTGGCCTGAAAGGAACAATTGCAAATACATCAATCTTATTAGAAAATTGAAAGGTCAACTTGTACATTGAAATAAAGGTTTCATTTGGGACAGCTTTCTTACTACTTATTAAAGCAGCTTTTAAGTCCCCCCCAATTTATTTGCAATTTTCTGAATTAAGGCTAATTCCGAAGGCACCATTATGGGGATCAATTGCCACAGACCTCCATGTTGATCTCAAAAAGAAGTGCAAGCTTATAAGTTATGACAATTATTTATTATTTAGCTGACCATGTAGTAGTGTTGATGATGGTCTTGATCGTACAAAGAAACATAATATTAATTTTAAAGCAGATTTAGATAACAAAATTGTAAAACATCCTAGAATTAATAACATGAATCAGAGGATTAAAGTTACTCATAAGCAAGCTCATTGAAGGCCATATTTGTGTAGCCATGAACACCCCAGGCACGTAATTATGAGGATAAACCGATACAAGCCAGGATATGCACAAGCTTGTGTCTTCATTATTTAACAGTTGATTGACTATGAGATTTCTAGCCAACCTGGACCGGCCAAGCCGGTCCGGGTCTTCTCCAGGCGACAAAAAATCGCGGGACAGCACACGATCGCGAGACAGCGGACGGGCGGAAACGATGGGGAGCTCGGGAGTGGGGTCCACTTGGAATTCAAACAAAATTGAAGTATTTTTGGAGGGAGAAGGAAGGGTAGAGAGGTCCTTTTGCTTTTGTTTTGAATTAGAATGCATTAAGTAGGGAGTAAGAGGGGGATTAGGGTTATGTCATGTTTTTGTAGGAATTTCTTTTGTCTTCTTGGATAGTGAGGGCTCTAGATCAAGATCTAGAGATTGGGAGAGTGCGATCCTCCTCTCGAATAGAGGATCCTTGTATCGTTACTATTTTCCTTGCATCTACTAGTAATATACAAGTCGTTTCTTCAGTTTTTCGCTCAGATTTTCCCCATTTCCTACTGTTTTTGGCTGTTTTACTGTTGTGGACAGCAGTTTTCATCTTGGATCTAGTTGGTTTTGGTGAGAAACACTTGGAAATCCAAGTGTTTCCTATCATATTCCAGTACAAATAATGGTTTAAAGCGTATTACTATGCTTCAATGAGCATTAGAATGTGTTTAAATGCTTTTTTCTGCAAGTTTGACCATATCACATGGAAGCTGAACATAAAATTCGTGCATTGAATTTTGATTGAACACCATACCTTAAATACACGCATTTAACTTGCACCATAAATGTGCGAATGTAAAAATAACTAGCTTCCTAAACCAACTTAATTTTGATTCAGATAGAAGTTTTGAGTATTTTAGTGCATTTAGGTCTTATGCTAATTGCTATCGTTCAATGCTTTATTAAAATACTCGGAACATTAGATGCATAAAGCATTGAAAACATCGAGCAAACCTATCACAGAATCTGTTTTTTCCTTTGAATGTCCTGCGACAACTAGAAGCTTGTTTTCCCATTCAACCTACGAAATAATGATGTTAACAAAATACCAGCAAAATAAACACTCAAAATCCTCGTAAGAATCAAAATGGTTGCAGTAAAACAAAATGGGCCGCTACTTAAACTCACCAGACTATGGCCAGAAATTGCTGGGAAGGCCACTTTTGAGGTAGAATTTTCTAAACCGAGATTTTCTATTTCAATCCTTGGATTTAACACGGACCATGTCAACGATCTAAGATCAAAAACCTGCATAAATTCCATAATATTAACATCTGCTGAGGTGTTTTTTTTCATATATGATTCTAAAATCTCATGCATGACCTGCACGTCTGAAAAATATCGACCATTGCAGCTTCCGCCAATGACGAAAAGCTTTTCCTGAGCAACTGCAATTGCATGCTGAGATGTTTAAGAAGTCAGGAAATGAGTGTACAAATAAGAAAAAATCTGCTATAGGGTAAACATGATTTCAAGGGTAATAGAACTTCTGAGGAAAAAGGTTACTGGCGCTGCAAAGAGAAGCAAATTGGAAAAAAAAAAAAAAACGGTTCTCACATTCCAGACACAAATCAAGGCCAAGTTACTGTAAGATAAAAGAAAAGTAAATTTGCCATACAATTATAACAGATACCTTTACCTTATAACGAGCTAAAGGTTTCCTGCCTGAAGAATGTAGTAACGTCCAATTATCATTATGGATTTCTGACAGAAGAACATTCAAATTATAATGCCCATTGACCATCTTATCTCCTCCACCAGCCAATGAAGGATCGTGCATATGGATTTGCTTTGAAATGACCTAAGGCTTTAGAAGGCTTTAGAAGGCATAAGAATGCACTCATCAGTTTTGAAAAATTAAGAGGGTTCAGAGTCACATAAACAATATCAGAGTTCAAAGAAGCCAATTTTTTTGTTAGTTGAGCAGATACAATCCAAAGATGAAATGGGATTGCTCATCGAGTTACACACACGAGAGGACCATATGCTTCCCTCAACTGAATTGATACTTTTATCATACCTACAGACATTTATTCATGATCTGCAGCATAATAACGTGCAAGTAAATGCTCAATTAAGAAGATGCACTTGCGGCCTTAACCCATTTGTTACATGTCTTCCGTCCATCTACAACCGTTTCCTTCACAAAAAAAAAAAATTCCTAGCTTCAAATGCCATGTTGACAAATCTAGGACAAGCATCAACCTTAACATCATTTAAAACTTTTACCACAGTAATTCAAAATTTCTTAGGTGTATGGTCATTCCATAAAATGTGCATTTTAAACTTGTTTTTGTCATGATAACCATTGGTATTCATCCATTTCTTAGTTATTCTAGTTGATAAAACTCACAGGACACAAGTATTAAAGCTCATAATCTCCACGAAAAAACAAACAATTGTTCAAATGCATTTTGCATGCAGTTCCAAGTTCTGTGTTAACCAAAACCAGTAAGTGAGGCTCTTCAAATTAAACTGGAATCTATTTTGGAAAAATGTAATGAGAAGTCTGAAACAATAAGCATATATGACATGCGTTCCAACTTAATAATCAAGCAAAACCAGTAATAACAGCATATTGGCAAACTATTTAGTCAACATGTGAAGATTTGAGTTAAATGGAAAAGGAAAAAAAAAATTAAAAAAGAGACTAGCATAAAATTTTTTGGAGCCTTTGAGATTTTGTAATTTTTGTTATAGAGAACAAATGTAAAGGACACAATGTTTGACTTTTAATATGACACAATGGAGAAAAAGGATTCATTTAGCCGACCCCACGTAGTGGGACAAAGGCTTGATTTGTTGTTATTATAGAGAACAAATGTAAAGAGTATAAACTGAGTACTACTGGCATCTATGATGCATCGACACATCTCCTCAAAGAGGAATACAATGCCCGACACATATCGGACACGACACGCATCTAACACGCCTTCGACACTTGTAGAGCACACCAAAGATAGGTGTGTTCTATTAAAAAATAATAAAAAAAATTTTAGGCACGCTTGTCTTAAATATTTTATATTTTTTTAATATAATTTCTATAACTTTTTTACTTGCTCTCTATAGTCACAAATAAATTGTCCGCACTCAATATTTCATTTTCTGAATATTCTTATTTCCATTTCTCCCTAACGAGTTACAACTAAGGCTTCACAATAATGCATGATGTCATCTCTTTGATGGTGTCACAACATTAATGTTTTAAAACAATCTCAACATTGAAGTATGATGTAGTCTTGACTTTGACGCTCGACCCCAGCAATTTTTACACTCATAATCACGCCACCACACCGTCTCGACATCTAATCTGTCTAAAATCATCTCAACATTGACAACCAATATCATCTCAGCATTTAGGGGTGATACTATCTTGACATCGATGTTTCATGTCTATTGCACAACATCGATGCCAGACTTTTGATAGTATTATCAATAATTGACGTGTCTTGTGTCTTTATCGTGTTGTGTGTGTTTCATAGATTGGCATACATATACTTGGGAAATGGAATGCACTATATATATATATATATATATATATATATATATATATGCGCACATGCATGCATATGCTTATATATATTATCAGTACACTCCTTTTTTTATTGGAGCTCATGAAGCATGGAAGGACAAGGCGGGTCACAACCTTCAAAATTAGCTTTAATTTCATTTTCTTTATTTTCCTTTCGCTTAGGATAATGCTAGTTATCACGCTATTAATTGATTTTGTTCTTTTTTTATTATTGGAATAAACATTTAACTATTTTTATTAAGAGGATTTCTTTGCCTGATTTATTACATCAAATGAACTATGATTTTATTTTCTTTATTTATTATAATTAATTTTGATGTTTATACTAATTAGCACACACCTTGTCTAACCTATATTTGGGCCCTATGCTTTTTTTAAATTTGCAGTGCCTTGTGTGTATATCATATTTTGTCCGTGTTACACTGTTAGTGACCCTGCAGCATTCAATATCAATCAATCTTTAAAAAAATAGGAATCTAAAAAACTAAGGCAAACATGTAGAATGCATTGGTAAAAAAAATGAACGTAATGGAGCAATTTTGCTAAAAGTAGAATTTAACTCAACTAGGATTTAAGAAATCCAGTCAATCTAGATTTAAAAAATCCTAGTGAAATTAAATCTCGGAAATTATCTTGCATGAAAGAGATTAAATCTAACTAAATCTTAATAAATTGTCTGCTTATTTGTTTAAGGATTAGAATTTAAATAAATATGTGATTTAACCAAGGGCTAGAGTCTAGGAAAGATGCTAGATATGATGTTAAACCTGAACTAAAATGAACAATTACTACAAACATTAATTTAATAAAATATAATCAAGACTTTAAATAAAACATAATAATTCATATAAATTGTTAAACGCTTTAAATAAAACATAATAATTCATATTAATTTAAAAGTTTTAATAGAAATCAACATATTCTTTAATTGTTAAACAATACGTATACAATGATATCAATAAATTTCATGAATAAAAAATTGAATCACTAAAGACATTATTTTATTAAATATTCTGTCATCATAAATTTTAAAATTAAGCAATTAGAATAATTATAATTTACTATCAATCATATTTTAAAATTAATTATCAATCACAATTTTTTTAATGTGTCTATTTATTATATTTTAATTCCATAAATATCATAATTATATTCATTAATTTAAATAAATTATTTTACATTTTTTATTTATTCATGTTATCAATTGAAGAAATTAACAACATTTACAAAAATAACAGGATATATTGGTAATTCTAAACTTAATGAAACAAATCTAAATCCCTAAGCCCTTGTCTTCTCCCCTTCCCTTCCTACCCAAATTGTAGAAACTCTCGACGAAAAAAGAAGAGGTGAAGAAGTCGCCACGAGAACTCGCTGGGTGAAGGCATTGGCGGGATTGGTGGCCTGTGAAGTAGAAGTAGAATTCGAGGGAGAAAACGCGATGAAGAATGAGTGAAAGCCTTTAAATCGTCTAACTATGACAACTCTAACGTATGCAGATAAAAACAAGCATGACTTGCCAGATTATTATGGAATCTTTAAAGACTAGAATTTCAGGTGATGCAAACCTACACAAGCAAACCTACTTCTACTTTCAGCAATATTGAGATTTCTTGGTCGAACGGACGCTATAAAATACAAAGCAGAACTATCGAATGGATAAAATCATCGTTGAGCTTGTTAAAAGATACAATCAAATCATTAAAAATGGCTAATCATCGTAGCTTTTCTATAGGATAAATGTTTTTGAAGCCATTCCACATAAAAAGAATAGCCGGTTGAAAACTTAACCTTAGTTAACGGGGACGAAAGCTCGATCCATGTAATGCGCTTATCAGGACAAAACGCAAAATAAAAAAGCCGATCCAAGTAGACAAAAAGGAAACAAAATGATTGCTCTGGAACATCATACATTTCCTGTTTTATTTCCGCAAAATCCAAGGTCAAAAACGATTTGTCTTTGAACCTAGTTATGCTATGAAAAAATCGTAATAGCAGTCGAGATCATTCTCACCTTGTAGATCTCAGCCTCAGGTAAGCAGGACGAAAGTGAGATGGCCAATTTTCCGATCGTCCAACGAGAGAGATCGGCGTGGTGATGAAGATTCTCTTTGATCTGTTCTGCCTCTCCCGCTCACGAATGAGTCGAGGAGGGACCAGGGCGAGCGAACAGAGACAGAAAGAAGAGAGTGATATGTAGAGAGAGAGAGAGAAGGGAAGTTGGGTCAGGACTCAGAATTCGAGTGACTACGAATTACGCTGGCGAGGCTTGTAAATATATATATATATATATATACTTAGGTTCAAACATGTTCAATTTTCATTAAAAAAATCACAAAATATATGAATGGTAAGAAAAACTATACTTGAAAAAAAAAATGAGCTTAAACAAGCACTTGAAGGATGGTAAAATATTTTAGTATATTAATTGAAGAACCAAACGGTCTACAAATTTTGCATACTTGTTGCGAATTGAAAAATTCACATATTATAATTGGTTTAATAGTTTTTTTAAGAGAATGTGAGGCAACATTGGTTGTTGATTATTTATGAAAAATGTGCAAACTTATAAATGATTGTCAAGGCCAAGTTTCATGTTGGAACATTAAGAAGTGGTTGGATTTTTCAAAAAATTAGTACTACTCTTTTTTTTTTCCTGAAAAATTAATGGGTTATTCCAAAGAAATGGGAGAGGCTAAAAGAGTTGTCAGATTATACCTTTTCACGTATATGCTCATTTCATATCCTATCTCTAAGGGTAAAGTCACTCGTCCACCTGAGCATCCTTATCTCTGTCACACTTAACTTAGTATTGTGCTTCTCTTTTAATGGCCAACATTTAACACCATAAAGCATTGCAGGCCTCACTACCATCTTATAGAATTTTCCCTTAAGTTTTAGGAGTACTTTTCTTTCGCACAACAAGCCCGATGCATTCCTCCACTTCAACCATCCAACTTGAATTCTGCTGATAATATCCCTATCTATTTCACCATCACTCTGAACAATAGATCCAAGATATCTAAAATGTGTACTCACTACAGAAAAATCACTCATAACTGGCGGTTTGTTCCGGCGATTACTACTTGTTTTCTAACGGTTTGGCAAAACACTGACGGCTTCTCGGCGGTTCAAAAATCGTCGGAAAACTTTTCCGGCGGTTTTTTTCATCGGCATTTAATACCACAATTTAGATTCTGGCGGACTAAATGTCAGTGACTGCCGGTTTTGTTATCGGCTGCGTACCGGCTGTTCAACCGTCGGTATAAATATCGTCGTTATTACAGCGTAGACCGTCGGTAACAACGGCGGCTTAACATACACCAAGGTACATTCTCTTGCAAATGTCTGGTGAGAACATCCATGACTAAAGCAAAAAAGATATGGACTTAAGGAAGATCCTTTATGTAACACAATCGAAATAGGGAAATACTTGATCAAACCACCTTGTGTTTGAACACAAGTAATAGCTCCTGCATACATATCTTTAATGATTTGAATATAAGCATTATTAACTCCTTTCTTTTCAAGAACTCTCCATAGCACTTCTCTTGGAACTTTATGATAAGCTTTTTCTAAATCAATAAATATTATATGTAAATCCTCCTTATTGTCTCTATATTTCTCTATAAAACCTCTTAATAAATGTATGGCTTCCATAGTCGACCTACCCGACATGAATCCAAATTGATTTTGAGAAATATTAGTATCACGCCGCAACCTATGCTCCATTAACTCGCTCCCATAGTTTTAAAGTATGACACATTAACTTAATTCCTCTATAATTCGCACAAGCTTGTGCATCACCTTTATTCTTAAAAATAATGATTAACGCACTACTCCTCCTCTCATCTGACATCTTTTTAGTCTTCAAAATAATATTAAAAAATATAGTAAGCCAAGAAATTCCTTCATTTCCTAAGTATTTCCACACCTCTATTGAAATATCATCAGGTCCAACAGTTTTTCCACCCTTCATTTTCCTCAAAGCCTCTCTAAGTTCGGTTTTACTAATATGTCGATAAAAATATAAATCTTTATTTTCATTTAGGGTGCTAAGGTCACTATAATCAATCTTATTTTCACAATTTTTATTAAAAAGCTTTTCAAAATATTTCATCCATCTTTGTTGAATATCATCTTCTAAGAAAAATATTTTTTGATCTTCATCCTTAATACACTTCACTTGAACTAAATCCTTATTACTTTTATCCTTTTGTTTGGCTAACTTATACATATATCTTTCCCCCTCCTTAGTTTCTAATCTATTATATAAATCACTAAAAGATAAGGTCTTTGCATCACATATTGCTTTCTTATATTTCTTACGAGCATCTTTATATATTTCTCAATTATCATATTTTTAAAATTAAATTAATTTTTATTATAGATCTTTTTATTTTTAATCTTTTCTTGCACAGTTGGATTTCATCATCAACTATTTTTACTATTAGGAGCTTTTTTCTTTAATACTCCAAGCATATCTTTTGTAATAATCTTAATATCACTAGTCATTTTTTCCCACATAACATTAACATTCTCATGCACAGATAAAATCTTAAGATCTAAAATCTTACTCTTAAAAATATTTTTTTAATATTCTTTAAATGCCACCATCTAATCCTATAATATTGTTTTACTTTATTTTTTATTTTCTGACCTTAAAGTCCAAAACTAATAATCGATATTGTGTACATAAATTTTCACCCGGAATAACTTTACAATCTTTGCAATCTAAACTATCTAATTTTCTTATAAAAAAATAGTCAATTTGAGTTGTACTATATTCATTTTTATAAGTGATGAGATGCTCATTCCTTTTCTTAAATAAGGTATTAGCAATTGAAAAATCACAAGCTAAACAAAAGTCTAATATGATCTTGCTACCTTCATTTGTTGTTCCAAAACCATGGCCGCCATGAATACTTTTAAAATCATCTATCTCTTTGCCAACATGTCCATTTAAATCACCTCCAATAAAAACTCTTTCTTCAAGAAAATAAACTACTCAAAATTATTAAAAATAGATGAAGAGTAGATGTTACTTTCTATGATCAAAACAATTTGCTTAACATGACTTACGAAAGGAAAAGCCCAAAAAGACTTTCTATCTCCTCTCTGCCTTCTCTCCTTTCTTCCTCGGCAAGCAAATGAAATGAGGGAGGGGGGTATATGTTACCATAATGCCAGAGACCACAACACTGCATCGCTGCATGTTGAATCCATAATTATGGCTGATGGTAGTAGGCGGTGGTGGTCGACAGTATTGGGGGCAGATAATCGCAATGATAATAACTTATGGTGTATTAAAAATCACTCAAATATGAGGGATTCTAAATACATCAAAAATAAAAAAAAAGGTAAACTTTAAATGCACAAAAATTCAACACTGCATTTGTTTTATTTCAAAATAAACATCAATATTTTCAAAACCATTGCATTTGTAATACTTCACACCCACTTTACTTCAAACCAAACAATCCCTTAGTTAAAAGTTAAATTTGGGTGTTCGGTTTGCTGAAAAAAAGAATGCTGTGTAAAATTCCAATTATTTTTTTTTTTGCTCCCAAGTTGCTTTGCCCCCAATTTTTTTTTTTTTTTTTTTTTTGCATTGTAAACTCACATGGTGTTAACCGATTTACTTTCTTATGCAAGCCTATTGCATTCTTATCGCCCACATCGCCATTGATCAACCAACCATCATCGGCTATCGCTGGTCACCAACACCTGTCAATCGCCCACCACTATCACCACAATTTTGCCACTAGCCACCACCCTCGTCGACCACGATCGGCCACCTCTTGCTCATCATTGATTGTCCAATGCCTGCCAATGCCCCACCACTGGCATCAAACCACCGGTCAGCCACCGTTGGGCGTTGGGCATTACCATTCGCCACCAACGTCATTTTATTTTACATAAAATTCATTTTACTTCATTAAAAAAAAAACTTATATATATAATCATTCCAATAATTTCAAACACTTCAATACATTTTAATATTTTACTCTAATTAATAATTATTCTATTTAACAAACCAAACAGCCCCTTAAATAAGCTTAAACCGGCCGGCCCAACGTAAGGGTTGGGCGACCAGCTGACGGTGAAATTAGAAGCAGTTAGAGCAAGGCTGAGGAGTCGGAGATCCACGAGCTAAAAGGACCCATTCCTTCTAGCTTCTCCATCAACAGCCTGTCGTTACCTTGCATTGTGTTGTCGTCCGGCGAACTGCAGACGATGAAGAGTCACGCTCTCGTCCCGCGGTCAGCGAGCTTCCGACCGGAGACTCTTGGGCAGAATGCCGTCCAACTTATTGGCAACCTCTGTTTCTCCCTGTTCGTACTCGGCGTCCTCGCCTTCACCATTATTGCCGCCACATACCAGCCTGAAGATCCTCTTCTCCACCCATCCACCAAGCTTTCTTCCTTCCTCACCTCCACATCAAATGCCACCTTCCGCTCAGACGATTCCGCTGCTCACACCGGCGACGACTTCCTCTCCCCTAACTCTACCTCTGACTCCTCCGCTGCCATTACCCTCTCCCACATCAACAGCTCCACGAAAACCTCGCAGGTCGCTGTGGACTCTGCTGCCGCGGTCGGAGATGAGGCGACCGACTCTTCCACTTCCGCTGTTTGTGCCGATGGTCCAATCGACTGCACCGATACGGAGGTCTTCCACTCAATGATGCGCGCCGCCATTGAAATGTTCCGCAACATTCACTTCTATCGCTTTGGCAAGCCGGCGCGTGGCGGTGAAGATGGCAAGTCCTGCGATATGGCCTGGCGTTTCCGCCCTGAGGAGGCAAAGCGGGCCGGCTTCTATAAAGACTACCGCCGGTTCGATATCGTCCGATATGCCAACTGTACCTATTCTGTCGTCAAGGTCGGCGAGTACCATTCCGGCATCAACGCTCGCAAGAAGCGCAAGACAACCCAAGGCGGCGATTTCAAAGCCAAGGACGCTGCCGATTCTCTTTCTGGAATGGTCCTTCCGGTGATCGGTGAGGCGGTGAACGATACCCTTCCGGTGGTGGAGTCCGAGAGCAAGTTCAGCAGCGGCAAGTACTTGATCTACACTGGAGGCGGCGACCGCTGCAAGAGCATGAACCATTACCTTTGGAGTTTCCTCTGTGCGCTTGGGGAAGCTCAATATTTGAACCGTACGCTTGTCATGGATCTTAGCATTTGCCTCAATTCCATGTACAGTTCGAGTAATCAGGACGAGGAGGGGAAGGATTTTAGATTCTACTTCGATTTTGAGCATCTAAGAGACTCAGCCTCGGTCCTTGACCAGCTCCAATTTTGGGAGGATTGGAGTAAATGGCAGAAGAAGAATAAGCTGAGGCTTTATTTGGTGGAGGACTTCAAGATCACACCCCTGAAGTTGGCTGAAGTGAAGGATTCTTTGATAATGAGGAAGTTTGGGACGGTAGAACCGGATAACTATTGGTACAGGGTTTGCGAGGGAGAGACAGAATCCGTGATTCTGCGGCCGTGGAACCTAATTTGGAAGTCCAGGAGGTTAATGGACATAGTTGCAAGTATAGCTTCGAGACTGAATTGGGATTATGATGCAGTCCATGTAGTCAGAGGCGAGAAAGCAAAGAACACTCAACTATGGCCAAATCTTGCTGCTGACACTTCACCTGATGCTCTGCTTTCTGGTATTCGCAACAAGATTGATGATGGAAGAAACCTTTATGTTGCCACTGATGAGCCTGACACCACATTTTTTGACCCTTTGAAGGAAAGGTACACTACTCACTTCCTTAATGATTTCAGAGACTTGTGGGATGAGAACAGTGAGTGGTATCTTGAGACGATGAAGCTAAACAATGGGGTTCCTGTCGAGTTTGATGGGTACATGAGGGTGGAGGTGGATACTGAGGTGTCCTTGAGGGCTAAGAAGCACATTGAGACCTTCAATGATCTCACAAATGACTGCAAAGATGGTATCAATACATGTAGAAAGGCTTCTTGATTATTGATGGGCGAAGGCATATTGGTATCTTAAGATCTTTCTGCTTTTTAACATAATTATTTTCTCAGTTGTACCATAAAATTCATTATTTTTGTTTTAATAAGTTAACGATGACATGCCTTTTGGATAGCTTCTCAAGATCCAATTTGTTCTCCTCGTTAGTGTAGTGCTTGTTTTTAAGTTAATTGGTTGCTAATAAGTAAGAAGATCTTTTTAGGTTGTCTTTGTTGTCATTGCCTTTTTTTTAGAAGGTTAGCAATTTGTAGAATTTACGTTATTATCATTATTTTTTGGTTAGCAATTAGCTTTCAGGGGCCGTTTGGCTACAACTAGAATTTAACTCAAGTATTTATTAAATAAAGTGAGTTGCTTCTTAAAATTGTAAAAACACTTGCAGATGTTATTTCAAATATCTTAGAAATGATTGCTTCAACAATTGGACTAATCAGAGCAGAACATTAATGATTTCTTAGTTCTTATTTATGATAATTAGGCCTAGAATAATTAAAGAATAGTTTGTGAGTAGAATTATTTATAATTAACTGTTTATGAAAGTTAAGCAATGATTGAATAAAATTTAAGTCCATATCATTAAACTTTTTAGTTTTAATAATCCAATATTAATATTAAGTCATCCATAATTAATTATACCAGCCAAATTATCATATATTAAATAACAATAAAATAAATTATCATAATTAAATTTAAGATTACTCAATAAAATAAATAATTAATTAACTATTTGATGCGGAAGTATCAGACGCTTTGAAATGGTTTTGTTTTGTAGAAAGTATGGAATATGAGGGTTCACAAATGAAAGAAGCTAGAGAGGAGGGGTCTGTTTGGGGTGACTACTAATATATGAAAAAATAATTGTAGAGGTGTTGTGTGGAAAGTAATATTTTGAAAGTTGTTGCATGTATTATAACTTTTTTCTTTTTAAAATATCAGACAATAATTTTTTTGCAACTACCCTGCTCTTATAGTTTTAGTTATAACAAATTCATTTTCATTACAAAAATTTCTAAAGAGCAACAAATACAGTGAGCAAAATAAACTGTTAGTTTTATTTATTTTTTTTACATTGCGAAAAATTACTCCAAATTCACAAAATTCTCCCCAACAAATAAGAGGTGAGAAAGTTGCGTGGAAGCTCGCTAGGGGAAGACATCAATGTGATTGACGACATGTGAAGGAGAATAAGAATTCATGATGGGAGCTTGTCGGGGAAAGGTATCGAGGGGATTTGCTGTGTGAAGGAGAAGATGAGTTCATGATAGAAACTCGTTGAGGGTTGAAGATTTAAGTTAAATATGATAATGCCTAAATTTAGTAAATCCATGATTTAACATAAAATGGCAGAGAATCGGGATTTAACATTATATTAGATTGAAGTTCTTTAATTTTATAGATTGGCAATATTTATGCTAAATCTTGTTTAAATCCTACACCAAACAGACCCAACCCATGAATTTGCTATATTTTGTTGTCGGCTCAAAAGTGTTGTGAAAAGAATCAAATTATAATGATTGATTTTCATAGCTTACCGTCATCTTCCTTTGTACTTAACATGCACTTAGGCTTAACATGGATGGCTATTATCCTTCTGTGACCACTATTTTTATTTTCATCACATCGATGAATGGCCGTGGGGCATTATTGATCTTAAACATGTCTTTTTGTTGTACTTCTTCTGAATAGACTTGGCACTGTTACTGACTTTTTTTGTTTTTTCAAAACATAAATAATAGATATGAAGTTTAATACATAGGAAGGATAGTTTGTAGGAAATATTATTTCGTATCATGCAATTTGTACAATATTTATGGATACATGATAGCATAAGAAAGAAAGTTTATTAGCATCATTAATAAACAACAAATTGACGTGGAGACAAAAATCAAGGAAATACAAAATGTTTGCTAATTAGTTATTTCTCCAACATGCTCTCTTAAGATGAAGTCCCGTGAGAGGACACCAATCTTGATATGAATTCAATTGAGGTTTTGATTGAGAGAGTGGCTTAGTATGCATCGATAAGTTGATCGTCAAAGGAAATATGAGGGACTTGATGCTCTCCATTTTGCACTTTTTTTTTTCAAACGTTGTGGAATTCAATATCATTATGCTTTAGTGTGAGTGAAATGCTGGGCATAAAGGCAGGTGGCAACTTTGTTATCATAGTAGACCGTGGGTGTTACTGGTAGAGGAATATTGAGTTCCTAAAGTAGAGATTGTAACCAAGAAATTTTAGTCGTGATGTAGGCAATAAAGCGGTATTCAGCTTCACTGGAAGTATGAGCAACTGTTCGTTGTTTCTTAGAGTTCTAGGAGATAGAATTATGACCAAGAAAAACGAAAGCACTTGTGGAGGTTCGATGGACAACATTACTTTCTTACTTTCCTCAAAGAATCCATGTAGTGATAATTGGGAATTACATTGAATAAATAACCCATGATGTATAGATGTAGTAAGACAGCAAAGGGTTCTTTTGATAGCGGTTCAGTGAGTAGCTATAGGCCAATGCATGAATCGAGAGAGCTTGTTGATAACAAATGAAATATTTGATTTTGCTAGAGAGAGTTATTAGAGGCCACCAACTATGGAGTGATATTGAATGGCGTTAGTGATAGTATTGCCATGAGGGATTGTAAGTATATAATTTGGAGACATGGAAGTGGTGACTCCTTTTGCATTGGCCATATTGGTTCCTTCGAAGAGATCTTGTATGTATTTGTGTGGAGATAGAAAAGACCTTAAGTGGAGGGGATGACTTCAACATCAAAGAAATATGAGAGGTCTCCAAATTCTTCGATTGAATTTTTTTTAGCAAGTTGATGTATGACTTGCTAAAGAAAGTGGTTGTCACTCCTTGTGAGCATAATCTCTTCGGTGTACACTAAAATATATAATGTAAATGATTTTTGGTAGTAGTTAAATAATGATGCTTCTAACTTTGAACTAACAAAGCCAAGCGATAAAAAAAAAGTGATGAGGCTGTTGCTACCAAGCATGAGGAGCTTGTTGTACATGACACACATGAGTAGGATTGTTTTGATCATGAAATCACAGAGGTTGGCTCATGTCGACATCTTTGGTCAAATGATCATGAAGGAAGGCGTTATTGACATCTTACCAAGGTTGGCTCATGTTTGAACAGCCAAGATTTTGCAAAAGCAATACTTATAATGAGTTGAATAGGCTGAATATTTTATGATAGACAATGCTAGCATTGATGAAAGCCTTTATACATAAGTCGAGCCTTGTAGAGATTCTACATCTATCTTTATTTTATTTGATGTGAAACACCCATTTGTAGCCAACAAAAATTTTAGAACGATGAAGAGGAACAAAAGTCCAAGCGTTGTTTTGTGCGAGTGCATTAAAATTAGCTCACCATTCAGCATGTTGAATAGCTTGGGAGATAGAGATTGGTTCACTTATGGAAGATAGGTAGTGAGGCTAATTTTAATAAAATTTTTGAGTTTTATGGATACTATTTTTTATCTATTTTGCATGTGTTGACTATTGTTGTTCGAGAGAGGGTGTTGTGATGGAGGTGGGGTGGAGTTAGTGGACGAATTTTCAAAACGAGTTGAGGTGGTGGAGTTATGAATAATATTGTTGCTTTTATTATGAGGTATGGTAACTGTAGTTAAGAGATGCAATTGATGGGAGATATTATTATTTGTATGGAGCGAAATATAAGAATTTGTGGGATCCATGTCTCTAATGACTGCATCTACAGTGCTGGCTTACCTATGATGACCCAAATTGAATATGTTAAGATTTGCAATTTCATTGAGTTTTTGTTAAAATTCTATAAATTTCAGAGTTATTTATATGTTTAATTTAGTCAAAAAGAGTTGTAGATTGAATTGGAAATAAGAATGTGTTTAGAAGAAATTCCTCCTTGGAAGCATTGCATTGCTGCCCTCTCTATTAGTTAGTGAGCGTTGGGGAGCGCTTAGGCTTAAAGTCTTTGTGTGGTGTGGAATTTCCATTGGGAGTGTTGCGACACTCGGAAGGTAGCGCTACGACACTAGAGCTTATATTTGGATGTCTGGATTTTCCTGTTTGTGGTGCCATAACGATGTGTCTATAAATATCAAGTTCCAATTGCAAAACTCAACCTCCTCATTTTTCATCCCTTAGGTTGCACAGAGAGAGAGGGAGAGAGAGAGGGAGGGAGGGAGAGAGAGATTGGGATTCGGAGGTGTAGAGCCAATTTTGTTCGTCGAACCAGTTGGAATGTTGCTCTTGAGGTAGGTTATCATTGCCCTACTTAAGTTTTAAATTTTTTTGCTTTTAGGAAATTGTTTGGTATTTTGTTTAATTTGATTTCGTGCAAACTCGAATATACTAAGTTTGGAATACTTTTTATTATTGAACTTTTGGTATGTTATGGAATAGGTTACTTTGGTTATGTTAACATCAAAAGTGCAAGTTTTTATCAGGTATTTTGGGTTGTGTGAGGTTTTAGACATTTTGGCAGGTATTTTGATACTAATAGAAGTGTCTATAATAGGATATAAGCATTGAAATATCACTGTTGATATTATATATGAATGATTTTATGATTTATAATTGTTGACATGTGTGCGCAAGTATAACCCTTAAACACTAATGTGTATCATACATGTGAAGTTTTGTACAATTTTGTGATATATCAGGTATTGTTTATACACTTTAAAAGTGTAGGTATTTCTATGTTCATGTGATTAATTAGGTATGGGCTATACATATTGAAAGTGCAATCATTTCTTTGTTCATTTGATTAATTAGGTACTATTTGTACAAGTTGCAAGTGTTGATATTATATGAACATGTGGTGGAAAATATATGTTTCTATGTCATGTATATGGAAATATGTATTTATATGTTCATATGCCTAAAAAGTTTGAAATATGAGAGAAAGAGAAAAAACTTAAAGTGGCTGGTTGTTGATGTTATGTGTGCTGGTGGTTGGCTATTTATGTTTTATATGCATTAATGTGGAGGTAAAAGGGTCTGTGTACTCATGTGAAAAATTCAGCTGTCCATATGATACTCATGAATATATGTGAATCTAATCAAGTGAAGATATCAATGGAAGTGGATGTATAAGGAGGCCTTGGGAAATGTGATTAAGTGGAGGTATCAAGAAATTTTTTAAATGTTGAATATGAAGTGTTTAAATGTTATTTTATGTCATGTTATGTTATTTCATATTGATTTTTTTTGTGATATGTTATACTTTACTTTATACATGTCTAAATTTGCTATTTTCATGCTCATGTGTTAAAAATATGTGTGACGGAAAAGGGAGGATGGAAATGATAGGGGCAAGTGGTTAATGTTTTACATATATACAAATTGAGGTATAAGTGGAAATGAAATATAATGAGGCATTCGGAAATGTAAGTTATGAAATGCTCTTTTATGAATTTCACTTTTGCCTTCAAGTTCGAATGAAAGTTTATGTTATTATTCCTGATACATTCCTATTGTTGGTTGACATGTAACTACAGCTGACACTATTTATATTATTTTTTTCTGTCCAAAAAATATTTAAATTATTGTACAATTTAATGTAGATATTACATTTTTAGTAGGTTTTCATGTAACTTATTGAGCAAGTGTTGCTCACTTTCATTTACCTACATGTCATTTCAGGAAATGACAAGGTCCCAGTTGAGTAGGACCAGCTGATAAGGGTTGGAGTCCATATTGTAGGTATGTATTTCATATATAAGTATATTCTTTTGATAATCCAGTTAGTTCTACATGCATGTTGGGTTTGTACGAGAGAATTATATTTGGATTGCTGTCAGTTATTCATTTGATGAAATGAAATGAATGATGATGAAAATATTTATGTTTACTATTATTTGATGATCTTAGAAGGCTATGTGTTGGATATTATTGAAGGAAAAAAAAATTCCTTCCAACTTAGGTCTTAGGTTGTGACAACATCTGACATGATTCCTAGGGAAGGAATATCTTCAATATTGGTCTGATTCTTTGAAGGAGAGAAGAATTTTGATTTGGGCTTTTTATAGGTGGTATGGTTGCCTAATTTTGATTTTTGATTTTGGGTGGAGTAAAGATGTGTGGGGCCCGTTTATGAAGTTGGTCTTTGCTTGTTATGGGAGGTGGTTCCATAGCCGATATTGAATGGGAGTTGTCTTAAGGAAAAATTAAAGACCGGGGGGATTAGCTTTTGAAAGAGGAGTTATTTTGGCATGTTATGAGATGTGTAGCAGGATTTTGATTTTGATTTTGAATCTGTTGGGGAGTAAGGATGTCTGAGGCCCACTTGCAAATTTGGTCTTGGCTTTTTAAGGTACTTAATGTGGTGTGTATAGGTGGCGGTAGTGGGGTTTGGAGGAGCAGAAATTTTAGTTGTAGGTGGCAGGACTGCATTTGGCATTTTTTAAATTTTAAAATGTGCATTAAATGGATTTTTCCATGAATGATTGGATGAACAAATTGATGAGGGGTGATTGATTTGAGGTGTAGACAATTGCGTATTAGAATTTTGAAATGGAAAAATAGTTTGGGCAAATTATACATTGCAGGAAATGAATATTTTGGTGGTGGCACGTTTGTAATAAAGATAAGCATTTTGAGTCATAATTATCCCATGAATATACAAGGCCAACGCCACTGATAGCACAAGGACCCAAAAGCTTTCAGTTTAGTATAATTTGGGGATGGCGAAATAAATTTTTGAATGGTGAATGCATAGAAAGAACTAGAGCGGGGAGACTGATTAATAAGGTAGATTGCTGTAGAAAATGTATGAGACCAGAAGTTGAGGGAAATGTGAGCGTGATGTGTGATCAGCTTTTTTGAATTAGATAGATGACCTGTTAGTGACTTGATAGGAATTCTATTTTTTCGTTGCATGATTGAATTTGTTCGCATGGGAGCGCTACGACATTGTGCATGGTGGCATTGCGATGTTACTCTCTCTGTTTAATGAGTGCTTTGTGGGGCACTTCGGCACAACAACACTAGTGCTTGGCGTTGTGGCGCCATAGTACTTGTCTTGCATGTTTGGATTTTTAGTCGAGAAAGGGGAGAGCGTGGCTCTTGAAAGAAGAGCGCCGTGACGCTGATCCGATAAGATTATTTTCATATATAATATCCCAAATCATTTTCTCTCACCCCCATACCTCATTCCACTTCCCAAGTGTTGTAGAGGAGCTGGGGAGAGAGAGGAGATGGAGTGTGAAGGAAAAAAGTTGAGAGATGTCTACTTCGGGATGATTTCATCCGTTGAGTCAGTTGAAAAGTTGTTCATTTCATGGTAGGCTATCATTACCTTACCTTCGATTTCAATATTTTTAGTATTTTTGTATTTTAAATTTGTCGGAAATGGTAAAAAGTCCCGATATCTTAAGATTCAACAAACTTTCACCATGAAGCTTTTAGCATGTTGTAGATTTTCTCATTTTGTATTTGTTGACGAGATCATATTCTAATTTCACTAGATATTTTTGTATTTTAACAAATATTTCTTAAGATAATTAGGATAAATGAATTTAAAAAAAGATAAATGGCCATTGCATTAGGTTGGGTCAAAATGGGTGGCATTAATATAGGATAAGGTTAAATTGATATAGCATGTATATTTAACATGATTAGATTAACGATATACATATCTGCTATACATATTTGCTATAATTTATCTGCTAAGAATAATATACACCTCTGTGAAAATAAGCATAATATATTATTATGATTTACATGTTATCCTATATGCTTTAGACATCTGAATATTGATTATAATATGTAATGAATTCTGATGGACTGGGCGATCTGATTGGGAGGGATGAAGTTTCCTAATTAAGTGAGAGCTGTTTAGGAAGGTTCTTAATCAAAGAGGATTAATTAGTAGATGTTTTCTAATTGAATATGGTAGATTTGGGGGTTGATTAATTAGGCAATGTTTCCTAATTGAAGAGGGCAAGTTTGGGGGTTGATTTGGAGGGGATTCATTAAGAAATGTTTCTTAATTGAAGAGGGCAGATTTAGGGGCTGATTTGAGAGGAAAATAATTAAGGAAATATGATAAATTTGGGAGAGAATTTGGGGAGGGTTGTTTTGGTATTTGTTGTTTATTATTTAAGCAGTTGATTTACCCTAGGGTTAGGGTCATGTTTTTGTATGCAGAATTTTATGAGGTTTTGTTGTCCACTATTTTTTTTAGGGATTCTAACGGCATCTAGGATTTAGAAGAGAATGTTCTCCTCTCGAAAGAGGACTTTTGTATCTTACTTGTTTGTGTTTCTTTTTCTTATCAAGAGAATATGTGGGTTTGTTGAATTTAACTGTTTGTTCGCTGATTTTGGTGCTCAATTTCTATCAGATTCCTATGCTATGAATAACATGAAATGTGTGTATGTGAGAAAGGTTGGCTACATATTGATTCAGGTTGTCAGAGATATGATACCATGTACAAGAGGATGAGCTGACGAACTCTATTTTAAATAAGGGTTAGTAGTGTGAACCCAATACTTATTGGGAGACATAAGGAGAAATGATATGAATATAACTGTTGACAGGCTAATATGATGTCACGCCCCAAAATATAATTTGGAAAATTATTCTTTTATATTTTATTATACAACAGTCAGAGCTATATTTTATAATTCAAAACATCACTACACATATATTTATTGACCCAAAAATAAATCATATATAATACTCATGAATCATATAATCACAACATATCCTTCCATTTCTGAGTATAAAATAATAACTAAAATAAAAAAAAAAATCTTTCCTAACTTGAAATCTGTGGACAATAGAGACATAAGGTAGCAGACTATTCTCAAAGGGGATTTGGAGGAAGAACTGATTCAGATGCAAGACAGTCCAAACATACTGTTGGACAAAAGATTGTAGGGTCAAGAGCATATAGTGAAAGATCAATCAACTGGGCGGATGAAAGAGCTGTCAGTGGTAGTCAGAGGGAGATTGTTGCACCACGATTGACTTCACCTACTCTAGTGATTCCACATGTGTACAATTTGTAGTATCTAGAAGACCAACAACAACAACAAAATTATACATGTAAGAACCTTTTCCCCAACTTGAAATCATTTAATCACATATAATGAGAACAAGCAATTAAATCCTACAACTGAACTCAAAACACGACAAAGAAGCAATATACATATCAGTGGTCAAATCATAACAATAATATTTATATGATCATGAATATGTGTAGAAATAGTAAAGCTCATATACAATAACAGTAGAATCTGTAAATAATAAAATAATACGGTATGGAAGCCAGTAAAATAGTACAGTGAGGAAATTAGTAAACTAGTACGGGTGCCGATTCAATAAAGTAGTCGTCGTATCAGTACTTTCAATTAGTACATAAATCGTATAAAGTGGCAAAACTAAAACATTGGTAAAAACTGTCGCAATCATATCAATGCAATAAAATCATATAAGAGTATACACATACTATCCAATATGTCACATATTCAGTATATTATGTGCTTATTATGTCACATATTTAGTATCAATACAGTGAATTAGTAGTATCAAATAATATCAGTGTTTGTATCGATAACAGTACAAGTCTGGTGTCGTAAGTAAAATTGATGGCAATAACAGTAAAATAATATAGTAATGGTAAATCTGTGCAGTAAAAATAAATCCATAAAATAATAAGATCAATGCCTCAATATCTTACATTTTAGTAATCATACTAAACAAGTAAGAAATCTTGACTTAATTGATTTTTTTAGTATTATATTAGTATCAGTAAATCTTTGAATCAGTAAACATAACTCTCTCCCATAGTTTTAAAGTATGACATATTAACTTAATTCTTCTATAATTCACACAATATTGTGCATCACTTTTATTTTTAAAAATAAAATTCAACATATTCATTCTTCACTCATCTGACATTTTATTAGTCTTCAAATTCTTTCATCTCCTAAAAATTTTCACACCTCTATTGGAATATCATCAAGTTCAATAGCTTTTTCACACTTTATTTTTTTTAAGGCTTCTCTAACTTCGGTTTTACTAACATGCCAATAAAAAAAATCTCTATTTTCATTTATGGTGCTAAAGTCACCAAGGTCAATCTTATTATTACAATCTTCATTGAAAGCTTAACAAAATATCTCATCCACCTTTATTGAATATCTTCTTCTAATAAAAACACTTTTCGATCTTCATTCTTAATGTTTTTCACTTGAACTAAATTCTTACCTCTCCTATCTCTTTATTTGACTAACTTATACATATATCTTTCGTAATCCTTAGTATCTAATATATTATATAAATCGTTAAAAGCTAAAATCTTTGTATCATATATTGATTTTTTAGACTCCTTATAAGCCTCTTTATATCTTTCTTAATTTTTAGAGTTTTTACATTAAACCAATTTTTATAACACAGATTCATATTTTTTATTTTTATTATACATTTTGATTTCACCACTAACTATTTTTACTATTATGAGCTTTTCCCCTTGATACTTCAAACATATCATTTGCGATATTTTTAATATAACTAACTACTTTTTCCCATATAATATCAACTTCCTCATGCATAGATAAAATATTAAGATTTAGAATCTTACTTTCATAAATATTTTTGTTGCTATTCTTTAAATTCATTTATCTAATCTTAGAATAAAATTTTACTTTATTTTTTATATTTTGCCAATTCATCTTAAAGTCCAAAATAAATAAGCGATGTTGAGTACATCAACTTTCAACTAGAATTACTTTACAATCTTTACAATCTAAACGATCTATTTTTCTTATAAGAAAATAATCAATCTCAATTTTACTATATCCATTCTTATAAGTGATGAGATGTTCGTCTCTTTTTCTAAATAAGATATTAGCAATTACAAAATCATAAGCATAGGTTACGATGAAATAAATGTGTAGACAAAATGTTTGGACCTTTAGAATAAAATTGTTGTCAGTTTTTAGTTGTCCCACTTAGGTTTATATTCATTTATTTTAGCTAGTTCTATAGTGTCACAACCCAACTCGGTATGACCTATAGACACATGCCACGAGGTGACAGAGCAGAGGCGAAATATAACAAACCAAGATCTTTTATTTGGAGAAATATCAGATTTCAATTCAGATAACAAACATTAGAGCTCTTAATTTTCACTATATATAAATTTACTCATCCACAAAAGTTTCTTTCTTTTTATTTATCCACAACATTATATATTACATATTCTTGCTATAACAATCCTTGGCAACAAACAGACACAGGGTAAGAAATACAAAAATGCTAGGATTGTTCACAAATTTTAAAAGAAGAAGATATCTATATAGAATGAGCTAACACAGCTTAGCAGATTATATTGCCCTAAATCATCTTGTAATAATTACAAAGACCAATTACTTCAAATAAAAAATTATTCTAATCTTAACAACAAACTTACAATAGAGTGGTGTCAGAACAATACAAGGTTTTACTAATAACTAAGCATGTTACATAATTCAGAGTGTATTATACTAAACATAAATAAACACACAGTGCAGAGCAATAAGTAACGAAACTCCAACCCTTATGTCTCCCATTCAGAACTCCAAATCTTTATGCCTCCCATTCAGAACTCTGGCTCTCAAGCCTTCCAATTCTCTCAGCACATTTCAGAATTTTCGCAACATAACTTCACAAATATATATATATATATAATAGAACTCATCTCGAACCCCTCAGAATTTATACAGAGATGCACAAATGCATAGTTAATGTAAATTGCACTATTTATAGAATTTCACAGATTTGCTCTATGGGCAGCATTGTAGTAGTTAGACCCCAATACTGTGTAGCTAAATTTTTTTGACTTTGAATTCTACCAAATAACTAGAGATTGTGCAGAATTATGTTTCGGGGGTTTAATTGTTCTATAGTACTATTTTTTAGTATATGGATATTTTCCATACAATTTTAGAAAATCAGTGCTTCAAAAATACCCGACAGAAATTTTTCAAAAAAAATCTAAATATCTAGAACTACGTTATCTATAACATACTAAAAATTACATAGTGAAAGTTTACACGTTCAAAATTTATCTTTGTTTAAACATCATAAATTTATATTTTTAATCAGGAAAATCCTAAAACGTTCGAATTATTAAAAAAGATAAGCAAAATGCAACCTACCTCGAGCTAGCAACTTTTAGAATTGTGCTGTAAACAGAAAACTATCTGAAGTCGCCCAAAACCAACTTTCTCTCTATAGGAACCTGTCTCTCTAGTTGGTTGCTGTGATCAAGTGAATTGGATTTGAATATTGGAAAAATATATTTTTATTTTTAAAATTTGGCTAGATTTTGCTAGTCGTAGTGCTCCGTCTTGGGAGCCCACAACGCCGTCCCCAACACTGTCGCGCTGAATTAATTGACAAAATTTCAGAGAGCACAGAGCTACGATGCTCCAGGTAAAAAAATTCAAATTTCACAAATATGTACCCAGACCCCTGGGACTTGCTTCAAAGCATATTTAGATATTCACATGCATGCTTAACATTCCCAGAGAGTAATGTAAGAAAGTATAAGGAAAAAATTTTGTAAATTAGTTTTTTCAGATCGGATCAGAACAGATGCAAATGTATCTTGGTTCAGTAGATGTTACATATAGACTTACATGCATCTATATGATTGAGCCCTTAATTATATAAAGAGCCTACTCATCTTAGGCATCCCACCGCAGCAGTTTCCGGAAAGGAGTTGAACCCCAAATTATACTCGACAAAAAATAAAAAAAAGTGGTTATGTGCCTGGTAAGGTTGTACAAGCTTTTGTTAAACTGGTTTGGAATTGGTCTTTCTTTTGTCAACTTATAGACTTTTCTACTTTTGTTTGATTTTAAGGATAAAACTATCGTTGTTGTCCTAAGATGAGATGAGCAGATTAAGGGTTGATATTAAGTTGACAATTATTCATAAAATATGTCGAAAATTATGGAAACTAACTTAATGTTTGCTAGAGATTGGGCATTTCAAGAAGCAAAACTTTATGGCCTTACATGATTGTGGTGAGAAGTGGTGAGTGTTGCCTAGGATATTGCCGGCAAGCTGTAAGTAACGCTCTCCAACTTAATAGGCTGTGGAGAACAATACACTAGGACTGGCTAGGTTATCATGCATGAGTGATAGACTTCGTTTGGGACGGTTTTATTACTGATTTTTAAAGTAACTTTTTAGTATAAAAGTAAAAAAATTTTAACTAAAAAACTGCTTTAAGAAGCAGTTAAAAAGCTGTCCCAAACGAAACCATAGTGTCATTAGTCATTACTCGATTATGTTTAAAAATATATAAGGGTTAACAATTCTATAATAGCTAACATTTTATTTGCTAGATGAAATCATAGATTTTGAATGGGAAGTTTGACCCAATGATTAGAAGGAGAATGACTACTGCACATTTGCAATAAACTAAATTGTAAATACAAAGTGTAAAAGTTATGGAAGGTTATAAGCTATTCGATGCTGCAAAGATTAACAGTTTGAATAAACCAAGAATAGTTGTTCGTAAAGTTGAAAGATCTAATCATTTAGATGAATGGAGTTAGTGATAAGATGATAACTTTCAAGAAAGGGTGATTGCAATAAGTGCTCATGCAATAATGAAAATTTATTCCTTTCAAGTTAATTATTAATATTGATATTGTACTATTGTAGATGTTGTTAAATACTTATTTTCCTTAAGGAATGAATAAAGTTTGAAAAAATATTTCCATCTCAGCTTGGTTCTGCTTGAGCTCTGGCCTTCCTACTATTGGTTTCTGTTTCATTTACCCTTAATGTTTTTTTTTTTCTTTTTTGATTTCCCATCCTTTGACTACATAATGAAGAAAAAAGATTCATATAGTCAATCCCACCTGGTGGGATAAAAACTCGTTGTTGTCAGTTTCCCATCCTTAGTACCTTTTGTGTTCGCATCACTTGAGAGGACATTGCATAGAATTTTAGACCTTTACTTTTTGAGACCAAACTTAATAAATATAAACATAATGTGATTTGTATGAATATGATTCATATCACATTAACTAAGATTATATATGTATGAAACAAGTTATATCATGATGTAAATATTTGTAGAGATTTGATTTTATGTATCAATTAATGTAGTAAAGCTATCTGCACAACATATAGCATTTTTTGTGGTCATAATTGACAAACTAATGATCTTAGTACAAATTTTTATTATAAAAATGGATATGATGATCCAGTCCAAAAGACTAAATTTTATAGCTGTTAAAGCACTCGCCCACTGTCAAATTACAAGGTCATGTATGTCAGTTACCACAATGAGAAGAACCTCATGACCTGCCTTTATACTTTTGTCACGGATAGTTCAAATGTTGCTTTTTTTTAAAGATCCCTCACTTGCATGAGTATATAGCTGATGGAATTGGCCAAATAGCAGAATTCTTATGTTATACAAATTACACTATCATAAAATAGGTCTATCACAGCACAAAATTAGACCATTTCCGGTGATTTTAACCGCCACAAATTTCCTTGTAGCGGTTATAAAATCGCTGCATGCCTGCTGTGATTGCAATGCGCTGTAACGACATTCTACAGCAGTTTAATGACCGCTGAGGAAGACAGAAAGAGTGCGAGTTTTAGTAGCGGTTTTAACCACCACAATCTCATAGATTTAATGCGGTTAAAACCGCCACAATAAACTCTAAAAAATGATTCACATAATAGTGCTCCGGACTAGGCCAGACATGTTGTTGGTTGGAGAAATGAAACAGTTTTTTTAATGAATTCAATTCATATCAATTATACTCCCCAAATAAATTTATACATTTACTGATTTCTCTACCTCATGTCCTCATGCGTTATATTAACATTGCTAAAAAATTCATGAAATTGTCAAATTTTTTATAATTCTCCTGAGTGCAGCAGTACTCTCTCCTGTTGTTATATTGCATTTTGCTCTCTTTATTGTCTCCTTGTCCCGGCTGAGCTCCGGCATTTTTGTACCATCCTGTAATAAATAAAATGGAAAAATCCCTCAAGTTTCATTAAAAAAGAAAACAGATTTCCTGGCCTTCCTTGATACTGCCAAAAACGTGGAGGTTGGAACTACGAAGGCCTGTTTAAAAATCCAAAGAATCCAACTCTCCACCCGCACTCACCCGCTCGCCTGCAATGCGGTTGAAATGAGATCAATTTCTAAGTTATCGTGCAACCGAAACAGCTGGAGGGGGAATATATAAATAGAAGCCGACCCCCAGCATTTTCCTTTGCGTTGTAAGAACTGAAATCCCATTCCAAGCGTCTATCTTTAACCTTCCAGTCGTTATCACCTTTATCATTAAACTCATATTAACGCCCAATTTATTATTATTACAATGCAGCAATAACAAAAAAATAAGTTCTAGCGAGGAAAATTAAGAAATTTTCTTATTATTTTTACTATGTTTCTTACTCATTAAAAATGTCATTTAATGCCCTTTAACAAACTGCTCAAGTTTTCAAATAATGATAAAAAATGGTGAATAGGGTATACATGTTATTCATATCTTTCATTTTGGGATGCGGTAATTTGGACAATTAAAAAAGAGAGTCATCTTCCGATTGATCTTCCGGTTGTTCATCAGTAGGAGCAATCCAGAAGAGCGACATCGACAGAAGCGGCGGCTTGCTCTCAAATGAGAATGACGATGGCGCTGCGGGCGACGTAGATCTCGGCAATTCACCGCCGGCACTGAGGATGTTGTCGTCCTCGGAAGCAGGGAGGTTGAGATCCAAAGACATCACAATATTTTCTTTCTTATTCTTGGCTTCCTTCTTCGCCTCCACGGGCTCGGGAAGGCTCGTCTGCCTGTGCCGTCGCATGTGTCCGCCGAGGGCCTGACCGGAGGAGAACACTGCGCCGCATGTTACACATTCGTGGACTCTTGCGGCCTTGGCATTGTTTGAGTTGGGGAATGAATTCATAGTTAATTGAATCGAATCCTCTTCAATCTCCCCTGTTTTCTTTTCTTTAACAGGCGTGATAGGATGCTTCTTATGGCTTGTCCGGTGGCCGCCGAGCGCTTGGAAGGTTGGGAAGCATTTATTGCACGTCTTGCAAACGAAAAAAATTACTTTGGCTTTGCCATTTGGCGCGACTGTCTTGCTTTTTATCTTCTTCGGCGGCGGGCCGCCGGCGAGAAGTATGAGGCAATTGGCCATGTCCTTCTCCTCCGAGGAAGACGAAGAAGTCGGAGCCATAGTGACCGGAAACTGTTTCTTCCGCTTGGTTCTCCTCCTCTTGATGGCGTGCGGGACAACTATGGCTTCTTCCCCAGCATCCATTGGAAGAAAAGGAAATCCAGGGGAAGCAAGAGTGAATCACACAAGCCACGGCTTATATAATGCCTGCACATAATGTTTCCTCTTTCTCACAACCGAAACAATTTGCTACCTTAAACAGTAACAGTTAATTAGGTTTTGTTTGGGACGTTTTTCTTATTACTTTTTAAAACAGTTTTGTATTATAAAGTTATTTTAAGAATTAATGAAAATGCTGTCTCAAACAAAACTAATCTGTCATCCTTCTTTTTTAACCTCACTTTAATTTATTTAGGTCTGATTAAATATAGACAGCAGGGAATAAGAAGGCTAAAAAGGATTAACAGCTCGAGATGACGAGGGAGAGAGAGAGAGGGTCATAATAATGAAGACAGTTTGTCCATGTGGAATTAGGTGGAATGGGAGAGAGTTGGAGTGAATATAGGCAGCTAGCTTGAGGTCTATTCATATTCTATTTTTGTGTAGTTCTCACTTGACACTTATCAAAGGTTTGTTAAATGGGAAGAGTGAGAGAAGGAGAATACGAATGAGATGTGGGGCTGAACTTGGCCCACCCATCACAAGCTTAACCTAAAAGATATTATAAAAAATACAAAATATCAAAGCACGTTAAAGGCATGATATCTACTTCAAAAGGAGCATCAAATTAGAACGTGAAGGCAGCAACGTCGACTGAGTAACTGCGTGAGGGATCGCTCAGCAGATTCGCCTCCTTTGACAGTGGCGTCATGGTTTTCCTTTTCCACACTATGAGTGATGGGGTTGCTCGTCTGGACCCACGTAAATTTTTTTTTTTTCCATTAGAACAGGGCGGAATCAGCCTTAATTCTTAGAGGGGAAAAATTATAAAAAGATAAAAAAATATATTTCTAACAAAATTTAAACAAGATATTATATTGCAATAAAAATTATAAGCTTTGCATTCTATTTTGCATCTTCTGATAATATTGCATTACAACTTCATTTGGAACTAAATCAAATACTTCTTTCTCAATATATAGAACTAGACAGTCGTTGAGCCAATCATCACCCATTTTACTGCGCAATCTATGTTTAACAATTTTCATTGCTGAAAATGCTCTCTCCACTGTAGCGGTGTCAACGGGCAAAGTTAATGCTAAAACAAGAAGCCGGTGAACTAAGGGGTACACGATATCTTTTTTAGCCTTAACAAATTGTTTTGCTAGACATTGCTAAAACGAGAGGCCGTCGCGGGCTGTTAGGGCAAAAAAGAGGAAAAAAGGGGCAAAAGCATTTTTTCAGAGGGGGCAAAGTACTAAAATGACCATCTATGTAATTAATTTTTTTTTAATAATACTTGGTTCCGCCAGTGCACTAGAATATGCGGAATTATCATTTCGTATAGACATATAGTTTGAATAGGGGTGTCAATATCTGACACGACCAAAAAATTCAACTTGAATACGGTCAAAAAATTTTAGGTTAGGGTCAACCCGTTTGTCAAACGAATCAGATTTGGATTGAACCAAAAACCCGAGAATGATCGGTGACATGAACTCTCCCATTGTAAATGTTAAATGAAATCCTGCTCGGGCCGCTTCCTGGTCGCCGCAGTCGCGATTCAATCGAGCCTAGCCGTTCGCCTCTCCTGTGGCCCCGCCATCCCGTTGTCGGCGCTCGGTCCGAAGTCAAAACCCTAGGCTTATCTTCCACGCCTCCTCCTCGCTAGAACACGCCATCCCGACTTCCGCCACTCCATCTACCGCCGACTCTCCCACACACACAATTGGATCGTCGTCAATTATTTGTCACTCATCTTCCACGACATCTCAGAAGTCGGTCACGACTTCCACTGCGAAGCCCTCACAGCCACCGGGGAAGATGGACGGCGCCGTCTCCTCGACCTTTCCAGCTTCCGTGACGAATTCGGGCAGTCCTCCCCGTGGGACTTCACAGCCTTTGTGTATAGCGGATGGCAGGTCATGTTGGGTTGACCCAAGTCTGAAGTGGGTTGGGCCAACTAGTATCGAGTCAATTCTGGATTGGATCCGAATCCGATCCGTGACCCAATTTTGACAACCCTAAGTTTGAATTCCATCTTAGCAGCAAAGTATTTATGAGAATTTGTTCATTCGTTTTATTTATTTTTCTGATTAAGACCGCATTTAATTTGTGGAAAATAACAATTCTAAAAAGTGCTTAAGCTGCAAGTAGCAGTGTTCCTACAATTGAGTAAATGACTACACTGGTGCATAATTATCTTTTTCAGATAATTAGAATTAAGGCTTCATAGTAGTTTTTTTATGCAATTTTTTTTTTTTAAAATCAAAAGTTATCCCAAACAATCTAAATCTGAATGGAACGGATGAAATTAGATGGAGAGATTATTCTGTACGGACACCAGATGGAGAGAAACGTTCTGTTTTGTCTCTTTGAACAGTGACAACATAGTAGTGATTCACAAAAACAAATTTAACGATTCTCTCTGTTCGATATCCGCAGAGCATAATTTCAGAATTAGACGAATAGACAATGATAACAGCACAGATACAGTTATTGATTCAGCTATAAAGGATTCAAGTCAGTCAATAAGATATCTCTCTTTATTTCGGCTATTTGGTTAGGTGTAGATAGAGTGGGTGATGAACTTCATGTTAATTGTGTACGCCATACAATAGTGCACGCCACACAATGACAATGACAATAGTGCACGCCATACAATGTATCTTAGGTTTGATTTGACTTGATGAGACAGCCTGAGATTACCATAAAACTAGTTAGAAAAGAGCAAGCAAAATGACAACGGCAATAAAGTAAAATGCTGTAAATTAAATTAGAAAAGAGAAGAAGGTCCACGCACCGAGTAGATCAAATTGACTGGGACGAACTGTAAGGGTGGCGAGTAAGGAAAAACCATTCCCTAACAACTGCTATGGAGCAGGAAAGAATCATATTTAGGTTTCCTATGGGACCATTTTTTTTGCTATTTTTTTTAATTCTTTTTAAACAATGATGAAATATAATAATTATATAATTTAACATAAATTATTGCTAATTATTTAGATAAAATTTATAAATATACGTTATATAAAAAACTCACATTATAAAATTATATATGTTGCGGACTAGAATATACGCGGCGATAGAGTTAAAACATTTTCGTCTCAGCGTTATATGGATATCTAGCACACAAACAGATGAGAAATAGCAACATCCGGATTTTTACGTAGAAAATCCCGAAAGGGGAAAAACCACGGGGCCACGCCCAGTTGAAAGAGTTCCACTAGTATTTGCTTGAAATACAAGAGGCTGACTCGTCCTTAAAATTTTGGACGATCAGATTACAATGAATCACTTCAAGATTGAAAATCAGTTACAACGTCGGGCAGAGTTTTGGCGTCACTTGGAGATCGGGCGGAATTTCGGCGTTACTTCAATGTTAGCAGAATTCCAGCGTCACTTGGGCAGAATTCCTGCGTCACTTGAGTGTCGGGCAGAATTCTGGCGTCAATCAGGCGTCGAGCAGAATTCCGGCGGTGGTTGTGGAGGAGTTTCTTCTCTCCAATCATTCTCTTCTTCTTCTTGGTTGTGTCCCCTCTCATGAGAAATGAGGGGTTTATTTATAGATATTCTGGAGTAGCATGACTTGTAAATAGGTGAGAGATCAGAGGTAAATAGAGAGTGGTCGTATGGACGGCCGATATTGAATCCCTTGATTGTGTATCATTTGTCAGATATTTGAAGGTCTTAATGATGTCGGAATTTGGTGATCTTGGGCTCGTTGGATTCGTCTCGTCAAGCCGCTCAATTCGACTATAAGAACGTCATATTTGGAAACCGTTTGGTAACTCAAATTGTGGTTTGAACTTTCTAATAGCACTTCGGATGCTTGATTTGGACTCGGCTCGGATTGAGTTGATTTTAGTGTCGTTGAGTTCGTATTTCCGAGACGCTCAGTTTGCCTGTAAGTTCACTGAAATTGGAGTTCAAGTGATCCCGAATTTAATTTTTGAAGTTTCCAGCTTGATTTTGTCTCGAGATTTGTGCCCGATCAAGATAATTTTTTGATGATACATCAATATATATATAATTAAATATATAAAAATTTAAATAAATATAAATTAAATATTATTAGCTAAAAAAATAAAATTTCCCAAAACATTTATTCATATCATAATATTTGATTATTCATAATATATAATCAAATATATTTAAAAATAGATAAAGATTAAATATTATCAATTAAAAAAATAAATAGTATTAAAATTATAAAAGTTAATTAAAAAATATTAAAAAAATATGTATTATATAGTGTATACATGAAACTGAAGGTAGCTTTTTATTTTGTTTATTACCACATCACTTGTGAAGTTTTGATTTTTATATTTTATATAAATTTTTGCTTTTATTGATGAAAGGAGCTCATATGGAGTAATGGAACCATATGAGAATGTTGGAGTAATATTTAATCATATGTATTTAATACTTATTTAAGAGTTTTAATATATAATATTTATATTAATTGATTCATATTAATATTTGTTTAATATTAAATAATTTGTTTAATTATTTAAATAAAAAAAACTTGAACCATAGACTCATTCGCCGGTTCAGACTGGTTTGATGCCCAATCGGTTTTAGGCTGAATCCGATCAACCTTCATATCATTTCACCGCTGAATCGGTCGGACCAGCCAGTCCTGTCCTATTTTTAAAACCCTTAGTTTTTTTGTAAAGTTTTTTTTTTTAAAAAAAATTGTTTTAAAAATCAACAAGAAAGTTGTCCTAAATGAAACCGTAGACTTCCTTTGAGACAGTTTTTTTTTTTTTTTTTTCTAAAACCATTTTATAGTACAAATATATGCTTTTAACCACTTAAAATCAACTTATAACATTCGTTAGGCGGTATTTTTGCAGCGGGAACCATATTGATATGGACTTGAGTTTGGCCTTTTTAGCCCCTCGCAACTATCTCACTTATTTTTTTCGTTGTCAAAGACTTCCTCGACGTTCATATGCCACTAGTCCCATCGCCATCGAGATCCCATCATGATTCCTCTCATGTTTCTTCATCATTGAGAGTTTGTCATTAAAGCGAGAAACATTTTTGAGGGCGAAGTGAGG